GCAGACATAGCGAATCACGCCTGTGGAGTATTTAGAGGCGCTGTGGCGTCTCTGCCAAAGTGCGCATGGTGCAAATCGTTCTTCCTTATTTGACCAAGCCGTGCAACGTTGCACAGCTGGCGAGCGAGGCGCTCGAATGGAGTGGTTCCCTCTCTCCTCGCTTCAAACTCCCAGGCGCCGCGCGCACGACCTGTCTACGTTACGTTGGAGGCAGCTAGGGAAACTTGAGTGGAGCAAACATCTTGGGACCAATGGGGCATCTTGGGACCAATGGGGCATCTTGGGACCAATGGGGCATCTTGGGACCAATGGGGCATCTTGGGATTAATGGGGCATCTTGGGATTAATGGGGCATCTTGGGACTAATGGGGCATCTTGGGACCAATGGGGCATTTTGGGACTAATGGGGCATCTTGGGACCACTGGGGCATTTTGGGATCAATGGGGCATCTTGGGACCAATGGGGTATTTTGGGACCAATGGGGCATCTTGGGACCAATGGGGTATTTTGGGACCAATGGGGCATCTTGGGACCAATGGGGCATTTTGGGATCAATGGGGCATCTTGGGACCAATGGGGTATTTTGGGACCAATGGGGCATCTTGGGACCAATGGGGTAAAACTAACATCCCCTGGCACCCATGAGTGCGTCTTGAGTAAACTGGCGACCTTGAGCAACATGACAAGCTTCGGAGTTAAGGAGGAGGGTCATGATGAAGCAACAGCAACGACAGGATGAGCAGGGGCCAGAGCAAGCAAGCAATTCATTTAGAGCGGCTTCGAATCCTTTGAGCTCCTTGGAGTAACCAGGCCTTGGTTAGGGAGGGCCTCCCTAACCATGCCTTGGTTGGTTAGGGAGGGCCTCCCTAACCAGGCCCTGGTTAGGGAGGGCCTCCCTAACCAGGCCTTGGTTAGGGAGGGCCTCCCTAACCCAGGCCGGTTAGGGAGGCTAACCAGGCCTTGGTTAGGGAGGGCCTCCCTAACCAGGCCTTGGTTAGGGAGGGCCTCCCTAACCAACCAGGGCCTTGGTTAGGGAGGGCTCCCTAACCAGGCTTGGTTAGGGAGGCCTCCCTAACCAAGCCTTGGTTAGGGAGGGCCTCCCTAACCAGGCCTTGGTTAGGGAGGGCCTCCCTAACCAGGCCTTGGTTTGGCCTCCCTAGTTAGGAGGGCCTCCCTAACCAGGCCTTGGTTAGGGAGGGCCTCCCTAACCAGGCCTTGGTTAGGGAGGCCCTCCCTAACCAGGCCTTGGTTAGGGAGGGCCTCCCTAACCATGCCTTGGTTAGGGAGGGCCTCCCTAACCAGGCCTTGGTTAGGGAGCCCCGTTAGGGGGGGGCTCCCTAACCAGGCCTTGGTTAGGGAGGGCCCCCCTAACCAGGCCCTGGTTAGGGAGGGCCTCCCTAACCGTGTTGTTCGCAGCCTATGCGATGCAATCTATGTTGGGCGGTGCAGCGCAATGCGCTCATGCGCCCCAAGCATTGGTCGGGAGGGAATCCCTGACCAAGCCCTGGCCCTGGAGGGCCTCACTGACCAAGCCGTCGCGAGGGAGACAGCCCCGACCCAAGGCTTGGTTAGGGAGGGCATCCCAAACCAAGGCCTGGTTAGGGAGGCCCTCCCTAACCAAGGCCTGGTTAGGGAGGCCCTCCCTAACCAAGGCCTGGTTGGGGAGGCCCTCCCTAACCAAGGCCTGGCTAGGGAGGCCCTCCCTAGCCAACCAATGCCTGGTTAGGGAGGCCTCCCTAACCAAGGCCTGGTTGGTTAGGGAGGCCCTCCCTAACCAACCAATGCCTGGTAGGGAGGGCCCCCCTAACCAAGGCCTGGTTAGGGAGGCCCTCCCTAACCAAGGCCTGGTTAGGGAGGCCCCCCCTAACCAGGGCCTGGTTAGGGAGGGGCTCCCTAACCAAGGTCTGGTTGGGGAGGCCCTCCCTAACCAAGGCCTGCGTCCTGTGAAGTCTTGGGCCCGAGCGACACTTTGCGTGGGAAGCCATGCTCTCTGTGATCCCACCACCACTACATACGAAAGGAGACCCTGTTGTGGTGGCACATCTCGCTGACTCTTTTCGATGGGCCCAGACTGCATTAGGACGAATTGATGCTAACCCAGTGGAGGTCGTAAGTTTGTTAACATCGCGTCGCATATCTACCAGTAGTTCTTTTTATGGTATCGGTGCACCAGAAGTTGCAGACCAGATCATCATGAATGTTGTCAGGGTATTTGTTCAGCAACACCATGATCCTAATCTCGGCGCTGTGCCGACGCCCCTGGAGCTGGCGAACGAATGGGGGATTGAGAAAAATAGGAAGTGCAACATGGAAGTGCTGCACGCTCGGTCCCGCGACAGCTCAGCCGGCCCAAAGCACATGTTTAAAGATATCTGCTCGTTCCTCCCACGTGTATGGAAGCAACGATGTGGGCTTGTGAGGGGTGTCAAGCCATGGTCGCGGTCTCGCCTGGCACAGGAGCTACCCTTTGCTACCATGAAGCTGTCTGCGTACTGTCTCACTTGTAAGCAGAGCTGTTCACTTACGCGGGCGCACGTGCACCGAGCAGGATCACCATGTGTACATCATAGCAGTTTCGGCGATCGTAGGCAGGATTCAGGGGAGAGCCACTTCTTGTTCTGGGTCTGGTGCGCGATCATGAGGATGCTGTTGAACCCCATCATCATACACGAGAACGTTCCAGGGTTTGGGCTTAGTGATCTCAGGCGCACGCTTGGAGATCTCTATTGGATCATACGCGTGCCCATGACTCCTACTGAACTGGGCTGGCCGACTGCTCGGGATAGACAGCTCGTGTTGCTCGTGCTCAAGTCGTGGTTGTCGCCCGTCTTGCAGCAAATGGGCGTCGCAGAAGAGGAAGACAAGGTTTTTGATGCTCTTCAATTTCCTGCGATCATTGGCGATCTTTGTGGCCGTCGCACAGGCGCCACCTTCAAGTGGGACGCCTTCCTCACTGCAGAGCCCGCAGAGGTCGAACATGAAAGGCGATGGTCTGCAAATCGGCCAGCTGTTCAGCAACGCTGGGCTGGGGTTAGCGGCATCTATAGTAATGACAAGTTCAAGGACCGTATATGACAAACCTTGTAAACAGCGTCAGTGTTCCTGTTTTGTTGCCGTCGGTCTGGGGCCCTTGGCGGCCCTTGGTCGGAGAGCATGGGTCGAGGGGCCTTCAAGGGTCGAGGGCTCCCGCGATGTGTTGTTTTAATTGTCCAGTCCAGGACCCCAGGGATTCCTTCTTGGGCAGCGTCACGCTTGGCGAGAGGAGTAGGTACTCTCTGTACATGAAGAAGAACCCCCGGATGGCGTGCAATGTCAACCAGAACCCAGACAAGCGGGTTGTGAGGGTGCGTGCTAACGGCGCTCTGCCGACTCTGACCAAATCGGGAGGCCTGCTTATGCTTCCTCAAGGTGGCCCAAGATTTGGAGGCGTAAATCCAAGGCGGTTTGTACCTTCGGAGCTCTGGCTCGCAATGGGCTTCCCAGTTCGTGAGTGGGCCAGTGAAGCATGTGGGTCCACAACATGCATGTTCTCAGAAGGTTCCGTTCCCCCAAGAGGCAGGACCCCCACTAGCCAGCGCTCTCAAGTTGGCAACACCATCCATGTAAATGTGATAGGTGCTATGACGCTATCAGTGTGGCTCAGAATGCCTTTTCTCGGACTGACTGTGCAGCCCTCCCAATCAGCCTCTGTGAATTCACCTGTTCAGCGGTCGTTGCGTTTGCTGTTGAGTAGCTCATCGCCCACCTGCGCTGGAGTGCCAGGGAAGCGGAAGCTTGGATAGTAAGTAAGTTGACATAACTTTCGTTGGTGTATAGACAGTGTATAGGCGTTGTCTGAGCATAGGAGCTAGGGACACCTGAGACCGCGGCCCTCAAGGAGATCCACAGCGAGACCCCAGCTCTAGAGGCTCTAGAGGTAGTTCTAACGTGCCCAAGACCCCAATACCCCATGAACAGGAAGCTGAGCTCTCTGATTCCTCTTTGCGCCTAGGTTTCCTCACCATCTCACGCCACCAGGGGTGCGAAGATAATCGTATCAGCGCGCTGCGGCCTGGGCTAGGTAGGCTGCCCTTCATCAGGGATGCGACGGCGTGAAAGGGCCCTTTGAACGGGAAGTCAAGCTATCCGAGTTGCCTTTGCGTCTAGGTCCCCAACCTCTCTCAGGCTGCCAGGGGCGCGCAGATAATCGCACCTCGCGCGCCGCGGCCGCTGGGCTAGATAAGGCTGCCTTTCACCAGAAGGAGATGCGAGGGCGCGATGCGAGAATGTAACCTGAGGCGCGTTCGAAGGGCCTTTGAGCCAGACCTCTCTTCCCATCGCGTCGGCGTTGCCCACAGCCATATTTCCCGAGTGACTTTGTGTCCTGGCAAGCAAGCCAGCCAGGCCGCATATCGACTGAAATTCGTTCTTCTCCTGCGGGGGATCCAGGGATCCAATGGCGGCTGGCGGAGACGACGTGCTCGGCCAGCCCTTGGACATTGGCCCCTTCGATGAGGGGCCTGTGTCGTTGGAGGACAGGTATGCGCTGACCGGGAGGCTCCTCCAGGACGTCGCGCGGTCGAAGTACCTCAACCCACAACAGGACTGCAGCGGTAGCAAATCAAATGGCAACTCACCAGGAGGATGGAGAGGAGGAGGATGAGGAGGAAACAGCCGAGTTTCTCGTTCGAGCGCCCGCTGTTGGATGGGCTGGCGGGGATGCGCGCGAAGCGTCGAGGATTGGAGTGGAACCCTGCCCCCGCCCACTATCCCCGAAGACCCCGCCGTCACCCCGAAAATAGGACCACCCCGGCCCTAGAAACAGTTCAAGTGTATACCCAAGGACTCTGGCATAATTCCCCCTCCTCCGACACTTTCTGAGTCAAATTATCAACCCGACCTCCTAAGGCTTAAGAGTTCGGGCTCAGGAAGTCAAGCTTAGTAAGCTTGTCTTGTTTTTTGGTAACTGATGTTCCCTCAGGAGAACATCGCGCTCCCCTTTTTCGCTGACGACGGAGAGGAGCTCTGGGCGAGGCATGAGCTGAACCAGGACCGCTCTCAGAGCGCGACAAGGGAGAAGTACGTGGAGTCTCTGAAGATCAACGGGTGGCTGCTCGGACAGCGAGGGGAGATTCTCTTCCAGTATGGCGGGCAGTACAAGTCCAGGGTCTCGACCAACGTGCACCGCAAGTTCAGGTGCATCGGAGGAGCGCACTTGATCGAGGCCTTCTACATCGCCCTCAGGAGGGATCAGAATAACAAGCAGCTGGAGGCCACCCTCAAGGGCGGGGTTCCGAATTGCACGGAGATCGTGGCGAACGCGCCCAAGGACGCAATCATATTCTTCAAGGATCTTTCGAACACTCTCCACGGCGTGGCTAGTGCGACTGGCTTTGTGCAACTCTATTCGAAAATACCTGATATGGTGGACGGCTGGGCCAATCATTGGAAGGCAAAAAAGAAAGCCGCGATTGCGGCCGGCAAGGGCCAACCGAAGCGGCGGAAGCTCGGCAGGAAGACTTCCCAACCAGAGGAGCCCCCCGTGCCTGATCTTGAAGATGCTGATGCGGCGGGCAGCGAGCAGGCCGATCCGGGTAAGAACAGCGAGGCTGACCAGTGGGCGCGGCTGCAGAGGGCGTTCCCAAAAACGCTCTCGTCTTTCATCCTGTACAAGCGGTGCCGCGCGCTGAAGGCTAAGCTATCGATTGGGGATTCACCAACCATCTGGGACAACTTCGAGGTACGCATGAATGCCACCTGCGAGTTCACGGACATCGGCGATATGAAACTGCACGAGGCCCTTATGGCAGCGCAGTGCCAGGTTGTTTTGGCCCTGCAGACTTTACCTGAGAAGATCTTCAAGATGCTGGCCTTGCCAATCCTGTGTCTCACAGTGCCTTCGACTCACGAGATGCCCTTCCTGCTCAAGAGCACGACCGATGCCCTCTCTCTACAGATTGGCCTCCTACCTGCGAAGGTTGCCACGCAAGGGGCGCCGTTGAAGGCGCCGGCAGCCAAGGCCAAGGCAAAGGCGAAGGCAGCCGCACAAAGCGGGGGCGGTGATAACATTACTGTATTTGAGGACTGCTTGGATATCATCGAGAGATGCAAGCGCAACGCTGTCCATGTCGGAGAGACTGCGTCTGACATGGCCATCGCCTACCTCGTCGAGTTCTTAGTGTTCAAGTTCACTGCAGTCACTGTCGGCAGTAAGAAGTTGAAGATCAAGACCTACAGCAAGCTTCGAGGCGCTCTTGCCCAGCACTGCGTTGCTGCTCACACGTTCAAGGAGGACGAGACGCATGAGCACCTGCGCGACCTTGGCATCGGCACTGATCCGCAGGCCGGCGCTGAGGGCGAAGAAAAGGAGGCACATGAAGATGTCAAGGAAGAGATTGTTCTGGGTCCAGCCCCGAACGGCTGGAAAACCGAGGAGTTGAAATTGATATGTGAGTTTCTCAAGGATGAGCCGAACATCGTCACTGACGCAGAGAGTCTTTGGGGCGAGTTTTCAATGTGCGCTTCGTCAGGTACAGAGACATTCCAGACAATTGCTTCTGTAACTCACCTCGTGAACCGCCTTTCCAAAGCGATGCAGTCAGTGTGGGCAGACGTGACATGTCCACTTGGCAAGCAGAGCATGCTTCTCGCAGACATGGGTGAGGTCACTGAGTCTGAGCTTACGGACTGCCAGATCAAGGAGAGCTTAGCAACAGAAGAAAAGTGGATGGGTTTCTTCATTGCGCTGTCCCCCATCGTGGAACAATGTATTCCATCGAACCTGGTCAAGTCCTGCAAGATGCTCGTCGCCTGCGTTGACGAGGCTGCCCTGACGGATAATCAAAGCGTCAAGCTCAGCCTTGCTCTGAAGGACGTTCACTACGTCGTTGCAGAATTTGCCGAGGCCAGTGGTGACGCCTTGTCAACAGTTGGGTTTCTAATGGAGCTTCGAGCTGCGTTGACTGTTAAACTACTCGAGGAGATTAATTCCGCACTCAAGACCAAGACGAAGAGCAACAAGGAGTATGTTTTCATCAGCCTGGCGAACTTGCTGAAGTCAATGTCTGCTGAGGTGGCGAAGCGCGACTTCTGCTGCGATGGCAAGAAGGATTGGACTGACTCCTGGGCGGCTGCCGCAGCCAAGGCACGCGAGCTCCTGAAGGACGAGGAGATCCGCAAGCGGTAGGCAGAAGAGTTGCAGAAAGAACGGGAGAAGAATGCTATCGAGCGGCGCAAGAAAGCAGAGGCTGAGGCGGCTGCACATGAAGCCGCACAGAAATTAGACCTGAAGAAGTTAACGCTGGACCTTCTGAAGGGCAAGGCTACTCAATGTGGAATCGAGCTCGTTGGCAGCGAGACCAAGACAACGTTGATCGAAGCAATTGTGAATCACCATAAGAACAAGGTCAAGCAGGAACCAGAGGATGAACAGGAGCATGGCGCGGCGGATGATAATACCAGCGCGACCTTCACTGAAGAGCAGTTGCGACTCTTTGTGAGCCAGCCGCGCACGAGACCGGGAGCGGCCGCCACAGACGGTACAGATCAGGATCAGGCGGCAAAGCGTGAGAGGAACATCGCAGAGTTGGTCCGAGTATACGACAGCACAGCCTACCCAGCGATCACCTCTATCATGCCCGTGCATGATGCAGCAGTGGGCAGAACTACGCTGGCAGCCCCGGTCACGATGCAGCTCCAGAAGCTCCAGGCTTTCAACCTGGATGCCATTTGCCTCAAGGTCAAAGCGGGGAGCTCCATCGCAGATTCAATCGGATCCAGTTTCAAGCCGAAGCTTTTCGTTGACTATGACAAGCTTGATTGGGATGCCTTTTCGCTGCCCTTGAAAGGCAGAGTGGTCTGCGCCATCGGCAACGCTGGCCAGAAGTCCTTCTACGACATGGGCTCGATCGGCATCGACGATACAAAGTACAACGTGATTGCCACTCCAGGCGACTTCGACCTGGGCTGGCGAGTCAAGGCGCTCAGTCCTGACAAGGAGGACATTCCCGCGCTGGTTCCGCACGCTATCGACGTGCAGCTGAAGGTGGCTGACATCAAGAGGGCACTGGACTTCACGGTCGAAGAAGGCGATGAATAGGATACATGCGCCCTGCACGCTCAGGTCCTCAAGATGAATCCCGACTTCAAGAAAGAGATCGAGCACATGAAGATGGAGCGGCAGCAGCTTCACGACGGTGGCGAGACATGCGGCCCTTTCGTGTTCGAGCTCACCAGGGCAGCTCTACCAGGAGAGAAGGCAGCCTTCGAGGCGAAGGTTGAGAAGGCAAAGGGCCGTGAGAAGCAGAGAAAGGCCGCGGAGAAGCTCCAGGCTGAATTCGACGAGGAGGCAGAGGGCGACGCTCGCCTGAGCGTGGATGAGCTGCTCTCTGTCGCGCCTCACGTGGTCAAGAAATAGCAGGCCTGGGCGGCCTGAGGGGTCCCGAGGAGCGCCCGGGAGGCGCCCGTGGCAGACGGAGCGCGGAGCTCCGTCAGTTGACTAGCCTGGTCGGCGCGTGGCTGACCTGGAATAGCAACAGAATCCCTCATCACCTCATCCAAAGAACAACCTTGACGAGGGCTCCGCTGAACCCTTTCGATGTTTTGCGATCCTTGATGGGAGTTCCGCCTGGCCCCTACCTCCTTTCTGGTCCTTCCTTATCCTCCGTCCTCCTTCTCCTCCGTCCTCCTCCTTCTCCTCCGTCCTCCTCCTTCTCCTCCTCCTCCTTCTCCTCCTCCTCCTCTTCCTCCTCTTCCTTGGGTCTTCTGTCGGCAGGGGCTGGCGGCTGGCGGGGGCCCCGATCCGCGTGAGGGGTCCTCTGAAGTGGGCGGCTTTGGTGGGAGAACAGACGGCCACGCGCTGAGGCCATCCGATATTCCTGACCCTTGCTTGGGATTCCGCCTGGCCCCGAGGACCCTTGGCGGGGGTGGATTTCCGCCGAACCCAGACGACGACAACCAGGACGAGAAAGATGAGGAGGGGGAGGAGGAGGAGGACGACGACGCGGAAGGAGGAAGAGCAGGAGGAGGAGGAGGGGGGCAGGACGGAGGATGAGGAGGATGAGGATGAAGGCAACCCTTGATGAGGATCCCGCGATCTCCAGAAGAAGTTGTAAATAATATGTAGAAGAATGTCCCGAGCTCATGCATTATGCTTTTCAGTTTCATTGGTTTCACATGCTGTGAATTTTCCAGAATCTAGTGTGCGCCCTTAACGAAATCCCTGATTCTCCAACATACAAACTTCACGAAATACAGTTGTTTGGTTTGCCGACGCCTGCAGAATCTGTTTTTCCCTGAAGATCGACGCTTCGAAATTCCATTTTTTCGAAGGCCAGCGCTGGCCAGCACCTCAGGAATTTCGCAAAATCTTCCAGAGGAAAGAGCCGTTTTGGATTACAACCAGAGGCTACTTTCAGCGTCCCCATGCATATATACAGATACATTGAGGGGGTCTTTACGAACGTTCGACGGACACGTTGAAAATGCACAAATCAGCGCGCGCCCCCCCCGCCGACCTCCCCGCCCGACAACCCATGACACCCCCCCCCCCCCCCGACCCCCCCCGTCTTTGACGCCCCCCCCCGGCCCCCCCCCCCCGCGCGCCCCCCCCGACTCGACGAGCCGCGCCCTTCCGATTTGACGAACCGCCTCGTTTCAATGATATGCGCGGCGCCCGTCGGACTCGACGAGCCGCGCCCCGCGCCCCCCGGCGGACTGCGACCCGCGGGCGGAGATCGGGATCTGCCCGAAGAGTGGGTCTTCGACAACTTCTAGATCGCCGCCGGCAGAACATCGCGAGAAAAGGAAAGGAGACATTCGAAGAGAAGGAGGAGGAGGAGGAGGAGGAGGACGAGAGTAGGTGTTCGCGATCTCTTCGCCGGGTCGCTTTCTCCAACCCCCCCCCCTCCTCTCATATGATGGAGGTGGGTCCGCAAACCTGGGGCGCGCAACCTCACTCTGCAGCCGCTGCGCTGCGGCGGCCGCATGGACTTCTCCACGCTTGAGAATTCGTGAACGACTGGCTGGCTCGATCATAGGGTCGGCGGTCTAGGCTTTCGACGTCCCCCTCGCCCCCCCCCCCTTTCCGTTCCCACGTGAAAAGCAATGGGCGAACGACGCGCGCGCGCGGGCGCACATGCAAACGGCAGCGACTAGGGCCCCCATCTGGAACAATTCACGCGAGGCAGATTGCGCGGTAGGTTAAGAGAAATGCGCTCGCGCGCACGAGCGCGCGCATGCAGGAACCGCACGCGCATTTCAACAAAAGCACCGCGCGTTGGAACCGAAGCCAGGCCCATCTAGGATCCCAAACACAGAGCAGGTGCTCCTCCACCTCCCCCTCGCCCCCCCTCCTCCTCCTCCTCCTCCTCCCTCTCCTCGTACTTATCATCTCCACTTTCTCGCGGCATCCTGTCGGCGGCGATGTAGAATTGTCGACGACCCACCCTTCGGACAGATCCCGGTCTCCACCCGCGGGTCGAAGTCCGGGGGCGCGGGGGCGCGGTTCGTCCAATCGCACGGGCGCCGCGCACATTAAAAACAAGCGGTTCGTCATATCGGGCGGGCACCGCAATGGCGCGGTTCTCTGAGCCAAACGGGCGCCGCTCACGGCGTCGATGTCGACCTCGCGCAAAAGCGACCCTGCTACATTGCGCAGGCGATAAAAATTAAACTGCGTTGAGCGCTTGTTTGTTCCAAATGTTTTCGTTGTTTTAGATCGCGTTAGATTTAGATTGCGTTTGTTGTTTGTTTAATGTGGTTCAGATTTGAACTGATATGATTTTAAACTGCTTTAGATTGCTGGGGCAACACAAAGAAACATGATGGCTGCAACTCGCCGTCTCCGCGCCTCTCCCCCGACGCTCGCCTGCCGCCTGCCGCGCGGGGCGGGGTTGCGAGAAATAGCTGAAGGCCGCCCCTTCGAGCCCGGGGTGGGGCGGTGCGTGTGTGTGTGTGTGCGCGCGTGTGCGTGCGTGCGTGCGTGTGTGTGCGTGTGTGCGTGCGTGTGCGTGCGTGCGTGCGTGCGTGCGTGCGCGCGTGCGTGCGTGCGTGCGTGCGTGCGTGCGTGCGTGCGTGTGTGTGTGTGTGTGTGTGCGCGCGTTCGGGAATGTGTGTGCGTGTGCGTGTGTGCGTGTGTGCGTGCGTGCGTGTGCGCGTGTGCGTGTGTGCGTGTGTGCGTGTGTGCGTGTGTGCGCGTGTGCGTGTGTGCGTGTGTGCGTGTGTGCGTGCGCGCGTGTGTGCGCGTGTGCGTGTGTGCGTGCGTGCGTGTGTGCGTGTGTGCGCGTGTGTGCGCGTGTGCGTGTGCGTGCGTGCGTGTGTGCGTGTGTGCGTGTGTGCGTGTGTGCGTGCGTGTGTGCGTGTGTGCGTGTGTTGTTTGCGCGTGCGCGTGCGCGCGTGCGCGCGTGTGCGCGTGCGCGCGTGTGCGCGTGTGCGCGCGTGCGCGTGTGCGCGTGTGCGCGTGTGCGCGTGTGCGCGTGTTCGCGTGTGTGCGCGTGCGCGTGCGCGGCGCGGCGCGTGCGCGTGCGCGTGCGCGTGCGCGCGTGCGAGTGCGCGTGTGCGCGTGCGCGTGTGCTGTGTGCGTGTGCGTGTGCGTGTGCGTGTGCGCGTGCGTGGCGTGTGCGCGTGCGTGTGCGTGTGCGTGCGTGTGCGTGTGCGCGTGCGTGTGCGTGTGCGCTTGCGCGTGTGCGCGTGCGCGTGCGCGTGCGCGTGCGCGTGCGTGCGCGTGCGGTCGTGCGTGCGTGCGTGCGCGCGTGCGTGCGCGTGTGCGTGTTGTGCGTGCGTGTGGTAGTGTGTGTGTGTGTGTGTGAAGTGTGTGTGTGTGTGTGTGAATGTGTGTGTGTGTGGTGTGTGTGTGTGTGTGTGCGTGCGTGTGTGTGCGTGCGTGTGCGCGCGCGCGCGCGCGTGCGGCGCGGCGGGGGGGGGGGGGCGCGGTGAAAAAAAAGGATGAAGGAGGGGGGGGGGGGGAATGGCATCAGCAGCAGCCGCAGCAACAGGGGCAGGAGCAGGAGCACGAGGAACTCAGGAAGTCGAATAAGAATGAGGAGCAGGAGGAGGAGGCGGAGGAGGAGGAACAGCAGCAGCAAGACCATAGAAATTCCATCAGAACCCCAATAGGGCTAGGTTCCCGCGGCCCCCTCCCCGAACCGCTCGATCTGTTTTCAAAAGTCGAAGGCGCAGGCCGCAGGAGCTGCTTCGACCCGCGCAAGTTTCGGCCTCCCCCCGCCGAGGCCGCGGGTCAGACCCCCGCCCCCCGCGGCGCAGCGGCGGCGGGGGCGGCGGAACTGACTGAAAACGCCCCCAACGAGACAAAACGCGCAGCGCGTTGGGCGAAGGGGAGAGGGGGGAAGGGGGGGGGCAGGAGGATTGGCGCGAAACGACACGGGGGCGCGGGGCGCGATGCGGCGGGGCGAGGTGGCGCCGCGTCGCGCGACGCGACGTCGCCCCCGCCGTCGCGCGACGCGCGCAGCCCCCAATCAACGCGAGGCGCCCTCGCCCTCAGCGGCAGTTGGCGCCCCCCGAAAATGCGCGCCAACGATTCGGGCGCCCGACATGGGCGCGGGAAAAAATGTGCACAGCGCCCAACAACAAATGTTGTCCCAAACCAACAGCGGCCGCTGTTGGGCAGGCGGCCTTCTGTCTCGAATAGATACAGAGCGCGGAGGAGTGGACAGCGAGTCCTGTTCAAAATGAACAAGAGCTGCTGTTGGGTATTGCGCCCATTCTTTCCGCGCCCATTTCGGGCGCCCAGAAACGAATCCTCTGGCGCCGAATGGGAAACATAACGCGCTGGTGGACCGTCGAACTAGAGTGCGCCACGACCGCCAAGAGGCTGCTGGCGCACCGGCGTCGGAGACCTATACGTCGCCAGCGAAATTCCGAAGTCGCGCCACATGTCGCCCGCGCACTCTGGGAGGCCGGGATCCGGGGCAGAGGCGCAAACCAGGGCCAGCGCACGGGCGACGCACTGAACCAAACTTATGGGGGGGTCGCACTACTGGGCCCCCACAGTTGAGAAGCTTAGTCTCCTCATCACGCACTACCTTCAACGCGTCCACGCCGTTCTTCTCAGGTTGCTCAATGTGGCTGAAGTACTTCGAGGGCCCCCAGCACTGTTCCCACGCCTTCTCCTGGCGCGAGGAGGAGGGGGGGGGGGGGGGGGGGGGGGGGGGGCGTCGTCCTTAGTCCGCTTCTTCACCTTCAGCTGCACAGAGGTCGCCGTGAACTTCCTATCCAAGCCCTTGAAGTTGTCGGCTAGGGTATCTGGGGCAACAGGAGGTGACAGCGCGCTCGAGACTTGCTTGACCTCCGGGAAGCACTGCTCGCTCAAATTCATCCTGCGCTGCGACTCAGCCCCCGACTTAGCCTTCCTGGCGCCCCCGCCCGAGCCCCCGCCCGCAGGTTTGGTCGAGCGAGCGG